ATTCAACACACAATTCACACAATTCGCACAATTCACAAGTCCAAGACAACCCTCTTTCGGCATCAGATGAAGCAATCTGCAACCGCGGCCCCAAACGAAATCAGATGCATGCCAGCATAAACGAAGGATATAGCAATCATAGACTTTATAGTCTTGTTTGTAGACGGGAAACAAAGCATACGTACGGGGTCTATTACAATGTCTGCATCAAGTTGTGAGAATATCCAGGCGCCGTCACTTTCACATACATTTTATTCGTTTTTCGCATTTAATTATTGTTTCAAGACTACCAGTAAATCAGTAAAATGGAATGTATTCACCCAATTTATAACAGACCTTTATCAGTTTAACCGAAATTGAGTGAATAAATTCCATATTACTCATTTACTGGTAGTCTCGAAACAATACTTGAATGCGAAAAATGAAGTAATGTAATCGATTGTTATAGCAAATATCCATGCAAAGATAAGTTGGGTTTTGAGGAATATCTTGTTTCATAAGTGTTGAGCTTACTTCCATTTCGAGTGAAAGTGTTGCGTGAAGAGATTTGAAGGTCAGTTCCACCAGAAGACGACAGCGGATTGCTCTTGACCAGCTGTCGATTGGCTTTACTGTAACATTCATCCGGACTCTGTTTCCAAGGCAATGTCCTTCGATTCCGGCGAAAAGGTGCTAAGCTTTCGTCCATCATTTGACGGAAATCATCAGAGCGAGGTAACATCGTCACAACAAAATTGAAGCTAACAAGTCAAGAAAACTCACCGGCGAATCCTAAAAAAGTGGAATATCGACTCTACATCTGGACTCTTTTATCAAGTGTATAGTGATTTGGTTAGTTACGGTGATATGTCAACTTCGATGCATGTGTGTGCGTCTGTCACTGTATGTGTTCGCGTATGCACGAAGCCCGCAGTGATGGCTCAAAGTAATTAGTACAGCAAAAAGGAACGTCTGTTTTTGGCCGTCAAGGTTTGATGACCCCCATCTCACCCTTTCTACATACATTTTATAATCATCATTCCGATTGCGCAAGATCAGACGCCCGTCTAGTTTTGCTGATGAGCCTATTTTTTGTTTATTGTCTCAAAGTGAGAGAGAAAAAGTGAGCTAAACGTACAGAGAATCGACTATCATTAGAAGCAAAACAAGAAAAGCCAATAAAGCTAATCGACTGCTGGTCAAGAGGAATCCGCCGTCGTCGTTTGGTGGAACCGACCTTCGAATGAATCTCTTCA